AGCAAAAGGGGTAACATACTCCATGGTTCTGTTTACTTGAGTTCATCCATTTTTAGTAGTGGCTCCAAGATGTAGGACTGATGACAAGAATCCATTTTCTTTAGTGCAAAATGAGCCAACTGATAAATTAAACCCATGGGGAGAGCAGCAGCACACTTTTTCATCTTTTTGTTAATGCCTTCAGTGGACATCTGTTCTTATTTAATGACTGTTGTTTCAGTCAGTTGATCTACAGACACCTTGATAACTTTGTCTGGCTCTCATTCAGATTACTTTTCTTTAAAATGTGTCCCACCTTTAAGGACGCTGATTGACTCTGCTGTTTCTCCAATTTGGGAACCAGCCACTGGTTCCAGCGAAGGGCAACACCAGACCTTTCAGTCGCTTGACAAAAATTTTAATGTGGCTGGCGATTCACAAGTCTGGAATCAGGCTAGTGAGATGTGCATGGAATTACAACCATGCTTCACTGAGGAAGATTTCTTACAACTGAGAGGGGAGTGAAGTGGGACCAGAGCCAACACTGTGTCCATGGTTTCCCAACAGGCTTTCATTGTGCACTGCTCCACTCCTGTTATTTCCCTACTTCTGAGCCAATGGGGGCTTGTATGTAGAAAGTGGCTGGGATACATTATAGTCTCAAATACAGCAACTAAAGAAAAACCCTATGATAGATTCATGAGTCTGTGGGCACACACACACGTTACATGCTTATCTTTGTGTTCACAAGTGTGCCAGTTTTTCCGTGTTTGCCCATATGCTCATGAATGCGAGCCTAGGAGCTAACCCACAAAGGGAGATAGAAAGCACAAAGCAAAGGCAAAAATAGACGGAGCAATACAATGACATGGAAAGAGGACACAATAAGCGTGCAGAAAAGGGAGAGCGAGGGAAAAAGAGGGGATAAACGATAAAAAGGAGGAGGTAAAATATGTCATTATCCCAAGCGGACAGAGTTCGTCTAGATCTTCACCAAACAGCAGGAGCAATGAAATGAATCCAGAGGGGGGGGGGGGCATGTTGCTGCCTCCTACATGCGGCACAGATTATCTGAAACCCGAGAACCTACTGTATAACAGCATCAGCCCACAACTTAAAATAAAATATGGGATCACTTTGCTGTGTGTAAAGACAAAAGCACCCGAGGCCCTATTCAACAGAACGTTTCATCACCAACTGAGACATATTCTATGTACAATAGCACATTAAAAACAACTCTAAATAATATAACAGTTAGAGTGATGAAGCAAATCTTTAGAGGAAGCTGCATTTTAGAAAAACTCTGGAGTAAGATTCTTAAAAGGCTGTTTTGCCCTTCAGAATGCAGTGTTAGTATTGTGCATGTAATATAGCACATAAGCGCTGTACACATTGCCTTTGTGAATGGATACAAACACCACAGGTCTTGTGTGAATAAAAGTAATATACAGTTTAAGAAATTGCTTCAATATTCAAACTCATAGCAAGAATGTTTATTCCAAGAAGAGGGAAGAATAGCATGCAGCGTTAAGAGGAAGCTATTTAACAAAGCTAACAACAGCCATCCATTATTTCAAATTGACCTTTCCTTGTAAATACATATTTTTATGAAATACTGGAAGTGGTAGCATGGTTACATTTTTCAAGTAAGCTAGTGGATTTACAACAAGAGTATAATCTCACACAAATGTAAATAGAAGAGGTCAAAAATTTGGAAAAGGTGAATGCAATCATCTATGACTTTTGTTGATCAGAGAAATTGTTAAACTTTTGTAGCGCATCCATCTTTGTCAAATGACAACGGCAAAGTTTAGAGGTGCAGTGTATACAGAAAAAAACAACTTTTGTTAAACTTGATTCTACCCAAGTGGCAACATCCAGTAAAAATTGAAGCTGATGGAGAAATGCAAAAAACTGCAGTTCGTCAAGTGTCCACTTGAGGCTGGCACCAAAAGTGCAGGAGTCCTGGTTGGCCATTTTGACAGCAGAAATAAACGTGTACAGTGTGTTCCACAAAACCTTTTGGTCTTAATAATTCATATCTTTGTTGGCACACACTGTACGAGGGGGGTTCATTTTTTTTTTAAATAACTTTTCCTTTTTGACTTTATGAAGGATTAGACATGTCCATAATTAGGGGGGTGACTGGTCTGACTGCATACGTTATGTTGTAGCTATATGCCAGGAGGATTAAGGCCCTCCTTCACTCCGACTCTTTGTCTGTTACGAGGTTGATCAAAAGTACAAATACAAATATTGTACACATTATTGTTTAACAATTACGAGAATGTACTGTAATGAATTATCTGGGTATTTCTGCCATCAATGGGTATTTTCAAATCGATGTATCCCTCTCTGAATGTGTCTTGAGAAAGATCAACACCCTTTGTGAATTTAAAATAGCTGAAGGTGTGTCACAGCTTTCTTGCGAGGTATAAAAGTGTGAAAATGGAATTACTTTTTGCTTTTAAAATACAAATGGACTTTCACAAAAAGCAGCAGCTGGTGCAAAACCAGATCATTTGTTTCGATAGCATGGTTTTCTATCCCATTGACGTCAATTACTCCCACCAATGTTTACCATTAAGCTTGTTAGATTCTGGCTGTCATTGAAAGGTTTTTTTGGCAAACACAAAATCATCTGAGAAAGTGCAGTTTGGATTGGTTTGGCTTTATTCTATGTTTATTTCTTTCGTCTAGTTATAACTGGTAGAGAGGTGTTCGGCTTTGTATATTTAAGATCTGGTTTCCATTTGCAATATAATAAAAAAACATGATTTCTAAATACTATCTCCATTAATCTGAAACCCACTGGGAGTAGCTAACGTGTTTTTACACCACCTGTAGCCAAACAAATATTTTCCTAATGCAGGGATAAAGATTTACAAGTGGGCCAACATGTCAGCCGATTCTGCATGATGTCAACACACAGACATGGAGACTTATCAGCAACATCTGTTGAAAGGATCACAATTTTTCTCTTTCGAACATACTTGCCAGTAGATTGAATTGGGTGATCTTTTTTCCTTTTTTTTTTCTGTGGTAATGTTGCTATATTGTGTAGCTGGTCAACTCAAGAAAGACTAGCCAACACAAATGCTGTTTCTATAAAGTATGCTTTACCCCTCAAAGGCAGTGTCCTTTCATAGCATACAGTAGAAATAGACGTGTCCTGATGTTCACACAGGGGGGCTGCCCAATTTGGCTGATTTCAGCTGTTTGGCAGCTCTCCGCCGGCGGACGTCATTGACTCTAGAGTAATGGACTGTACTACAGGAAGAGTCTGAATGAGAGCAGGCATGTAAAAGCCATCTGATGAATGGACAATCTTGCAACCATTGATTGAACTAATCTCAGTTATTCCGCACACCTCTGATTGTCTGTGTTGCTGTTAAACCTGATTGTTGGTTGCGTCATTTGTCTGATGTGGTCTTTTTTTTATGTACTGCAGATCAGGAACCTGCTGTAAACCAGTTGTAACTGAGTCAGGCCCATTTAACTATACCTTTTGTAATGTTATGCAATGAATGCAATGCATTGCAATGTAAGGGTAAACATATCTTGCCCTAAGGTGAAAAAGAAAAAAAACAATATGACTTGATCACTGTTTGTCTGTAAAGTAATCAATGTGCCCAATATGAGGATACAATATGATCCAAATCCAATACATGACATGTATTGAAATGTTTTGATTATTGGGTATTTGTCAATGGTTAATCTACAGAGTTATAGTAACAATGAGCTAAAAATGAGCCAAATCACAAGTGAGTTTCAAATCAAAGCTGCCAATTAAATCCCACATTGCTAAATAATTTATTAAAATAGGAGTGCCTGGAGTGTGAGAAAAAAACAAAAAAACTACATAGTCAGTACTCATGGTTTCACTTGCATCCTGCCCCACCCACATCTGAAAAATAAAATACCCTGTGATGTTAAAAACATGTCCCATGTGGAATGCATAATCAGGAAGCCTTCCTTCTTTATACAATGCTAAATATGCAAAATTCACAGCTCCCTCCTGCTTTATACTGTCTATCTCCCTGAAGCCTTTCCCTCACTTAGCCCACTCCATCTGCCATCTCTCTCTTCTCCCGGCTCCCACACTTCATTCCTCCGCTTTGTTTTGCTTCCTGCATTCTCCTTCTTCCCTCGCCATCCTCTTCAGCTTTCTGTTGTTTTTCAAAGTATGGCTCCCCTCTTTCTCTCCATTTCCTGCCTAATCTAAATCCACTTGTCCTCTGCAACCTTACTCTCATCCCTGTTTCCATTTATTTCCCCCCATGAGCCTTCCCTCTCAGTATCTCCCTGCAGTGTGAAAGCTGTACCTGCGACACTCCTCTCCCAGATATCCTCTCATCTAAATGAGACGTGTGGCCCTGCTATATCTGATTCCTCTAGACAGGAGGTGAGAGCTAACCTTTCTCCCACTTTGACACCTCACCAGCTCCTGCTATTTGTTTTCATATTTGTTTTCATAAAACAAATATGCCGTCCTTAGTCACAGCAGCCATCACAAAGCTTTAGCATCCCAACTCGAGCAGACAAAACAAAATAAATTCTACTCGATGGAACCCGGCCCTAAATGGTGCTTAAACCAGTGTGTGAGAAAATACTCCTCGGGAGGTAAGATTCATATCGGATTAATGCACAAGTGAAAGATAAAGACGAGAGGGGTGAAAATACTGAGAACATCCCCTGATATCTGTCTGTACTAATGAATACGATTAATGTTAAGCTGCTGGAGTATCCACTTTCCATGTGGATATAAAAGGAAATAATTTATATTCTGAGACCATGAGTCATATCAAAGCATGTCAGACAAAAGAGGATTTTTTTTTTGGTTTTTTTTACCCATGGATACAGTTCTATGTGATAACTTCCTACTATAGTGACATACTGTTTTACTGCTCTAAAAGGTAGAGAAAAGAGCTCTTGTCAAACACTCATCTCAAGTTCTGCAGATAACCTTACACAGCTGCGCTCACTCAAACAGCTCCACACACCCAAAAAAGTGAACTTACGTGTTCGGAAGCGGTGGTGTGGGCGTGTGGCCGGGCCCTTGTTGCCTGGTCGAGGGTGATTCCAGCGCGATGTAGGCTTGACCGGAACCACAGACTGGGAAGGGGTCAGCTGCACCTTGATGGTGGTCTTCACAGGAGCTGTAGTTGTGGTGGGTGCTGTGGTGGTGAAGGTAGGAGAAGTCTGTCCAGGTTTAGAGTTGGCAGCTCCATTACGTCCATTACCAGCGCTCCCTCCTTTTCTGACAGTGCTGCGAGGGGTGACCTCCTTAACGCTAGGTGGCGGGGTGATTCGGGTGGTGCGTGTGGTGGTGGAGGTGGTAACCACAGTCCCTGTAATGCGGGTGCCGACACGGTTGTGAAGGTGGGGTGCGCGGTTGCCGTCTCCGTTGGCAGTGCTGCCGTTGGCCGAGTGGTTGGCTGGCGGCCCTGATCGAGTTCTAGGCGCAGGGGCCGTACCATCCGCGGCCAGCGGTGTGGTAGTGGACACCATCGCTGTGGTGGAGACGGCTGAAGTTGTTGCGGCGGTGGGAATGTCGGGCCCCTTGGGCATGGCACTGGGTTTGGAGAGAAATATAGGGTCCTGTCCGATGCTACCTTTAGGATCCACCAGATCAGTGGGGACATAGTCTTGGACGGACCCAACCACAATCCATTTCAGCAGCATGAGACTGAGTCCCAGTCCCACGAAGCCCATCACCAGGGGCACGGCACACAGCCAGGTCTGCTGGCGAGGCCACACAGCACAGGGGCCGCAGCGTAGAGGGCCCGGGGCTCGGGGAGATGCTTGTTCAGCCCCTGGCTCCTCTAGTGTCATGGGTGCCAGAGGGGTGGCACCTGAGCGGTCACTCATCTTGCCAGATATTTTTGTCTCTAAGGGTGTTTGGGGTCAAACTGGGGGCCAAATATTACTCAGGCATGTACAAGAAAGGGGACATGGTGTGGAAGAAGTGCTGGGCATCTTAAGGAAGTGCCCACACAACAATACCTAGCTTAAACATCTACATGCACAAACATAAACATTAAACATTAGCACAGTCACTATGCAGACACGATCACTCACTGTCACGTACAGCTAATTCAAAACTGGCACAGTACTCAACTGCATTCACAAGCAATATAACCTACACTCCCTCTGGCGGACAACACATCAAACACACGCATTCTAACTCACACACACACACACACACACACACACACAAACACACTACAGACACACACTATATGCACTAGTGTCTACACACTTCCACACCAGCACACAGGTTACGGACAGGTGAGGGAGCGAAGCGAGGGGTCGCCTCACTGTAGTTCAGCGCTAACGAAGCGATGATAAATCCCAGGATGCTTCACTCCCTTGTTAAAAAAGCCGAGCAAAAAAAAAACCGAGAAGGATATCGATCCGCTTGAGGCTGGCGCTGTAAATCCATGTGCGTGTGTGCGTGCAAAGATCAACAATCCAGGCTACGGCAGCACCCTTCTCCACTCTCATTTGTTTGATTACCGGCCGCATAAGGTCCTGAAAGGACAAATCACGACTGTTCCTTTATTCCTTCAGGTTTCGTTTGAGTTCATTTCACCTTTTGAACATGCACCAGAGAGCTCTCCTTTCTCTCTCGCAGGTGTCTACTTCAAGTTTGCCTGTAATCGCACCCAGTTCGGCGTGCTCGACCACCCCTTATGGTTTGCTCCAGCTGCCGGAAATCCAGAGGGTGAAAGCCACCAAAACTGTACCGAGTCAGGCAAGAGGAAAGCTGACGTGATCTGCCAATGAGACGGGGTGGTATCCGGGATAGCGGGCTAAATCCAAGTGATCCGGGTCCAATCTCTTACGCCGACCACCCCAGTCTGATTCTCTCGGAGTGACAGCGGTGTATCGCCGGAGCTGTCTGCCTTTAGTCCGACACTGTTAGAGAATAAATCCAGGAGGAGGGGGGGGGGAAGAAGTATTTACGATACGTTTACCTTCGCTGCATTCCCACAGTGGTGCAAGCAGCAAAGAGAGAGGATGGAGGCAAGAAAGGAGGGAGGGGGCTGCCGCTCTGAAAAAAATGATGCGGCGGCTGTTCTTGGAGGCTGCAGACAGAGAGAGAGAGAGAGAGAGAGAGAGAGGGGGGGGGGGAGGATGAAGGGAGGTGAAGAGAAGGAAAGAGGGAGAGAGGAAGCTTGCTCAATCCGCGGTGAGTGATGTGGGTTTCACGGCTCCTAACCCATCCGGCGCTCTCTCCTCCGGTTCACCGCCGTCCTCAATACTCAAAAGTGACGACTATAGTGACTGCCCCATCTCTTTCCCCCTCCTCAGACTCCGCGGGTGGAGGTGTTTGCTGACTCCCTTATCAGCCCCCCCCTAAAAAAAGACAAAAAAAAAGAAAGGGAAAGAAAAGATTCTGGTAGGTAGAAAAAGGTGGGGAGAAAAGAGAGATGTGTGTTGGCTAAGCTCTGCAGCAGATGCAGATAGGAGGCAGAGAGAAGGGAGGAGGCTCAAACACATTTACGCGCGCACACACACACACACACACAGCGCGCAAAGGAGAGGCGCTGCCATAGACACACCCCAGGGAGCGGTGAGTTAGATGGAGGGAGGGAGGGAGGGAGGGTGGCAGAGCATGAGAGGAGAAAAAGAAGAGGAGGGAGAAGAAGGAGGTATAGGAAGGGAGGCGCCACCCCGATGTCTTCCACCAGCGGCACACAAGAGCAAACAAACCAAACACCTGGCTCATAATTTATGGGCGACTTAGAGCACTACTTCAGCCTGATACTTCAACGGGCAGTGGATGAATCCCTTGTTTTTACTGTTCACAAGGGACAGCACAGCTAGCTTTAGTTTTATGGGCTGTGCGAGTTATTGATATTAGAATATGAGTGAAAAACACACTTCAGATACAGTGTAAGCGAGCCAGATTGTATTTATAAAATGCCTGCTACATAGAATCAATGCAGCTGAGATATAGGTCCAATGCCATCAACACCAGATAAATTAGTATGAAACAGGGGCTCTTGCATGAATCACAATATTACATAATTCAGTTTAACACCATTATGCAGGAAAGTGTCTTGCATTCTTCCTAATTGGACTTTGTAACTGAAACAACCTGGAATTCAAATAGACACATTATGGCAACAAGAGCAGTCCAATAAGCAGACATCTGTTGGTTTGCACGATTGTTTACCTAAAGGCAAATGGCTGCTTACAATCTTGGTTCAGGGGCTTCACAGCGAAGCATTTCAAAATTTTAATGTTCGATTTGTGAATACTTTGTGAACACTCACCCTCCTCCCTCCACTTCAAAATGATGGAGGATTTTGTGTTGGTTCATGACATACCACTCCAAGAAAATCCACCTATTTGCAGATGTATGCATGAGTGCATATGGAAGAGTAAAGGAGCTGAATACTTAGCAGCTGACCTTTTTAGAACCTAATAATACAGTGACAGCGGTATGCAAAGTGTGCAAAAGGTGAAATATTTTGATTTGCTCATAGTGCCTCATTTTCTAACTCCTTGAGCAACATTGGAGTTTTGAGCAAGCAGCAAAATATGTTGTAAACTGCAACATGAACTTTTCACACACCCGTCTTTCCCAGCTGTTCCAATATTATAGTGTTTGACTTCCATTTTTACTCAATTAATCTCTATTTGTAATCATGTTAATCAAAGAAAATGGGCTCTTTTTTAAAACAAGTTTTAGTAGTTAGAGGGCTAATCAGATGTTAATATGTCTCTAGAGTTGACAAGTGTCTCCACTTTTCCCAAAGTGGTACTGAATGCACAATCATTTCTGGGTGAAGTAAAATACTAACAAATACTTTAGTTATTAAGTAGGGTTGTGATATAACACTGTTAAATGCTGCCATCTGCTTATCTAGAATATTTCTTTTCCTTTTAATTTACTCTATCGTTAAGTGCAAGAAAAATACATAGAATGCAAATGATGGTGGATAAATTAAAATAAAAATCCCTGAAAATTAGTGTGTTTAAGGACAAAAGAAAGTAGCAGAAACTGAGAAAGAAACAGGAAGGAAAACATAATGAAGGGAAATGTGATAGATAAGCATCTGCGTTACATAAAAAAACAAGCAATCCAAACTTAAAAAAATCCCCAACAACATCGTTCATTAATGTCTAAACTGCTTGTGGCTCATGGCGAAAAAATTTAGATCAATTTCAAACTCGTCACATTCCCCAAACGACTCTGAAATGATGCTGTTTTGAATGCACTGTTCTCACAATAACAATTTGCATCACCCTGAGGTTGGTTCTCAATTGATTTCCATAAATAATAGAAACTGACTGACACAATTGCAGCGCTCTGACGTCTCCATTTTTACGAATAGTTCACATCTTTCATTAGCGGTTTGCTAATGCCTGTGATGAGTCTGAAGGCATTGTTTGCTGTGTTAGGAGTAGAAAGGTAATGTCCCGCTCTGAAGACGCCTTTGAACTTGACAGGCTGCCGACAGCCATTCCCTCCCAGGAATTCACTGTGCTCCATTTACCCCTTACAAGTATTTGACGTTTCTCAAGGAAAAAAAGAAAAATAATCTGAGGACTTCCAGAAGTGGAATTTATCCAAATGGTGATTTTTTTTTTAATATAGAGTAAATGTAACTTCCTTTTACCTACAATAAAAAATATTGTTAAAATATACACACTTGCCTTTTCAGAACAAATGAAAACAAAAGACATTCATGGGCCAGCTGAAGCCGCTGTGAATCCTTTAATAATTAACTTCATAATTCAATATTGTATCTAAGTCTTGTTAATACTGTGGTCACTGACTTTATCAGTTGCCCATGATGCTCTGTATTCCTAATGTGAGGTTAGGGGACTTCACTTCTGCGGTCTTGAGGGAGCCTTTAAGGTCAGCACCCTTGATGAATGTCCGCTGGAGTCGGTTAAAGTTCATCTCGTTTCCATCTAACTTATCTTGATCCAGGAGGGTTGTCACCAGAAGACGATATCATTTCATCTGGTCCAATCCCCCGGGTGTCTCCTGGTCCAGGGATATTTACAGCTTTTACTGAGAGTTGGGAAGCTGGTGGAGAGTCCATTGTGTCAGATATCCTGTATAAAATATGTCCAGGAGGCCCTCCCATTTTCTACTTTCCAATCCTTTGCCGTCATTCAGACTGTTGTTCTTCCAGATCATGAATAAGGTCTTCATTAAGCTTTGCATTTCTTCCCGCTCTTGACATCCTCTTTTTAAATCCACTACCATACTTTCTCTGCTGTTAAAAAAAAACAATATTTAAAAAAAGAAATATAAAAAATGCTGCCTGCATGTAGTTCTTGCTCACCTGCTTCCCTTTGTGGGCATAAGTGAGGACTGTATTGATTATCACCCCCTGCATAATATCAAGAATCAATGTTTTCTCCCACTGCCTATGTCTGCATTTGAGCTCCCCAGGGAGCCACTATTTACCAACGTGGCTCAGCACAACTTCCCTGGACTGGACATCCAGGGGAGAGACACACATCACTCCTGTCTCGCTTTGAATTCTCGGCCCTTTTTCCTTTTTCATCGAAAAAACTAAACTAAAGGTTTGTTTTCTGTTCTTGGAAATCATTTAGGGATATTCCTGGAACAAAGAAGAGCATGTGCAGCAATCTGTACACTGCTTTAAATACTTCTGGATGGCAGACCTTTCTCATTGAGTTAATTTCTACTGCTGTGACTGCTTCCTGTGATACATCTTTGTGGTTTTCTGAGCATGCAGAGGCAGGAAAGGTGATGTCGTCTTGGAATGGCTCCAATCCAACTGTGTGTAATAGGATTAAGTCCTAATGAGGTTTGCTGATTTCTACCAGTGGTTCAGTGCGAGGCTTAGTACAATTGTTTCCTCCATTAAAGTAAAGATCACCAAATTTGAATGCACAAAAGGAACTCTTCACATGCAGGTAAAGATGGTGATGACCTGGTTCCCTTATTGCTGGTGACAGCATTTTTTTCTGGTCTTCCTTTGTCAACTGGGAAAAGTCAAGTGGTCTTTGTGGATGGCTTCTCCAATTACAGCAAGAAATGTTTTGTCAAGAGGTTGTCGACCCATGTTCCAGCACCCATAATGGCCCACTATTGTATGCTGTTTCACAGGATGTCATCGCATTGTTAGCCCTTTGCTCATCTTTAATTGTTGGGCTTTCTTTTTTCTTGTCGTGTTTGCCCTCTTCTGCCCCCCCTTTACATTTTACAAGCAGAGTAAAATGGAGAGGGGATAGCAGGAGAAACTGAGTTGCACTCTGGACCACATCAAATCTATTCATTTGGAAATCCCAGCTCTTGTGGGATCAATGCACTTGCAAATACCCTGTAGGTCTCGTTCACAGCCAGGTCTCCATTGGACTGTCATTTGAGTTACCTGCCGGAGCAGAACCTTGACGTCTTGTTAGTGGGTACGACGGTTTCTAAAGAAAAGCTGCAGCTTCCCTGTTAAGTGCCAGAAATGATCACCCTTTTTCATGGATCAGAAGCTGTTTTCACATATTCACTCCTGAAAATTTACAGAAAATTGCAGGCTGACTGCCCCTTAAATCCTGCAGGTTTTCATACATGCACCTCATAGCAGGAAACTAACCCCCTTCAGACAGGGGCATGGATGTTGGGGTGGGGGGGGGGGGGGCTCAAGTGGCAAGACATGATGTAGAAAGAATGAAGCAGAAGTGGTGGACAAAGCAGCAGAGTCTGCTTTACATAATATGATTACTATGTTTGCCTCTATAGCAATGCTACCTGTAGCTCGTCAGCTTCATAAGATCAACATAATAGTGGAGGAGAACCTACAGGCGAACAGACAACAGCTCGCCCTGACTTCATGTGGAAACACTACGTAAAGTTTTCAGGAGTTTGCGAAAAGAGTGTGCCAAGACTGACTTTTGAAAATTGGTGGAACAAAAATGTATGGCTAAATCCTTCTCATACTTTGTCAGGAACATTATATCCTTTGTCTGCAATAGTAGGTACTGCCTCCAGAAATAGCCATATGCTCACAGGCAAAAGTCAAAAAAATAAAAATAGGCAGAGGCTTTCACGGTCTCCTGCCCACTCAGAAATTCTCTGCCACTAATTAACTGCTTGTAATAAAACAGAAGAATAAATCACCAGAA